ACAAATCAAAGTGAACCTTCAGTGCATTTCCTTGCTAGATGTCATTTCACATCTAGAAGTGAGCTACAGAGAGACACCATGGTTACTCAGTTTGTTAGTCAGCTTTGCAACACTGTGATCAAAATACCTGACAAGAACATCGTAGCAAGGAAAAGTTTATTTAACTCATGGTTTCAGAGGTCTCAGTCCATGGTCAGCCAGCTCCATTGCTCTGGGCCTGGTGAGGCACAACATCATGGTAGAAGGGTAGGGCAGAAGAAAGCTGCTCAGTTCATGGCAATCAGGAAGCAGAGAAAGGAAGGATCTGGGGTTTAGGAGAAATTAAATCCTTCCAGGTCATGCTCCCAGTGACCTATWYCCTCCCACTAGGTCCCAGCTCCCAGTAGTCCATTCAGCTATGACTGATAAGGTGAGAATCCTTACGATCCAATCATTGCCTGCAAGCTCTGAACTTTATACAGCAGGGACTATGCTTTCAACGTAAGACTTTGGGTGACATTCCAGATCCAAACCATACACTCAGCAAGCATTTTTGCTCAGGACCTGGACTTTCCTATAAGGTTCACAAGGAGAAAACATACCTTGGAGAAGTCCATATAGGGAAGAACAGAAAGGGGATTTATTTGTCCCATTCATCTCCTGTATCCACTGTGGCTTTTCATGCAAGTCTAGAAATGAAGGGACAATTTGGCATGAATGAAGCATTGGCTTCTTCATTAGCACCGTTTTCCACCTCCTCCTCCTTCTTTTTTTTTTTTCCCTCCTATGGGTTTCAAACTTCCTAGCATGCACACAGTGCTGGGTTCAATCCCAGAACTGCAGAAATAATCAACAAACTCTTTCTGTCTCCCATCTAGACTGGGAGGTGTTCCCTTCCTCCCTCAGCTTTGCTCTCCACTCTACTCTTGGGTTAATGATTTTTAAAATGCCTCCATTTAGTTTAGTCTAGAGTTTAGTCTAGAACCAGATCCTGATGAGTATTTGGGCTTCTGCCCTTCACTGATTGGTGCTATCTCCAAGCCAGTCACTGAGCCTGAAGACAGGTAAGTTCAAATTTGAGCTCTAAGACTTTGTATCAGCTATGACTCTGGGAAGGAGGTGATAGCAGGATTAATTGTTTTTGTTTTGAAATAACTTAGATTTCTAGAAAAGTTACAAAAATAGTGCAGCTTTCCCTGAAGTCAACATCACCAAAGTATAATGATCAAAACAAGGAGGTTAGCATTATAATAATTCTACTACCTAAGCTCCAGACTTCATTTGAATTTCACTAGTTTTTCAAGTCTTGTTTTTTTTTTCTATTTTACAATCAATTCCAGAACTCCTTTTTTTTTTTTTTTAAATGTGGTACTGGGGATTGAGCCTAGTGCTTTGGGTATGCTAGGCAAGTGCTCCACCACTAAGCTACAGCTACAGCCCCATATTTAGTGATTTTTCTATGACTGTGATTCCATCTACATTTATTAAGGAATATCTGTACCTTTTCACTTTTCACCCATTTATCTATTCTTCCAATTATTTACTTACATCAATATGGACTCCTGGGTTTTATAATTACTACTTCAACTACTACAACTACTACTTGTGGCAATGGAAATTGAACCCAGGGCCTTGCACATGCTAGGCAAGTGCTTTCACTGAATCACACCTCCAGACCTTTTTGTATTTTGAGACAGTGTTTCGCTAAGTTCCCCTGGCTAGCATTGAACTTGTGATCCTCCTGCCTTAGCCTCATAAGTAAGTTCATGTAGCCTGCAASGTACCTTATTTGGTCCCTACCTACTTTTATTTTATTATTTATTTATTTATTTCTGTAGCGCTTGAACCCAGTGTCTTGTGATTGCTAGGCAAATGTTCTACTACTGAGCTATACCCCCAACAATTTTAATTTTTTATTTTTGAAATATCCTCATTAAGATGCTTAGACTGGTCTGGTACAGTGGCTTACACCTGTAATCCCAGGGGATCGGGAGGCTAAGGCAGGAGATTGTGAATTCAAAGCCAGCATCAGCAAAAGTGAGGCACTAAGCAACTCAGTGAGACCCTGTCTCTAAATAAAAATACAAAAATAGGGCTGGGGATGTGGTTCAGTAGTTGAGTACCCCTGAGTTCAATCCCCARTGCCCCTCCCCAAAGAAAAGATGCTTAGACTGGTTTTGAACTTATGATCCTTCTGCCTCAGTTTCCTAAGTAGCTGGGCCACTGCACTTGGCCCTTCCCTGATTTTCTAGTTTAATTTTCCTCTTCTCCACTTTTTTAAAATAGAGCACAATTTTTCATATCTCTGGTTATATACAAAGTATATTCACACCAATTCGTGTCCTCATATATGTACTTTGGATAATAATGATCATCATATTCCACCATCATTTATAACTCCATGCCCCCTTCCTTCCCCTCCAACCCCTCTGCCCTATCTAGAGTTTGTCCATTCCTTCCATGCTCCCTCTCCCTATCCCCCTATGAATCAGCCTCCTTATATCAAAGAAAACATTCGGCATTTTGGTTTTTGGGATTGGCTAACTTCACTTAGCATCATTTTCTCTAACTCCATCCATTTACCTGCAAATGCCATGATTTTATTCCCTTTTATTGCTGAGTAATATTTCATTGTGTATATATGCCACATTTTTTTATCCATTCATCTATTGAAGGGCATCTAGGTTGGTCCCACAGTTTAGCTCTTGTGAATTGTGCTGCTATAAACATTGATGTGGCTGTGTCCCTGTAGTTTGCTGTTTTTAAGTCCTTTGGGTATAGACCGAGGAGAGGGATAGCTGGGTCAAATGGTGGTTCCATTCCTGATTTTCCAAGAAAGCTCCATACTGCTTTCCATATTGGCTGCACTAATTTGCAGTCCTACCAGCAGTACATGAATGTATCTTTTTCCCACATCCTCGCCAACACTTATTGTTGTTTGTCTTCATAATAGCTGCCATTGGAGAAAAAATAGCCTCTTCAACAAATGGGTGCTGGGAAAACTGGAAATCCATAAGCAAAAAAATGAAATTAAACCCCTATCTCTTACCATGCACAAAACTCAACTCAAAATGGATCAAGGACTTAGGAATAAAACCAGAGACCCTGTGTCTAATAGAAGACAAAGTAAGCCCTAATCTTTCTCATGTGGGATCAGGCCCCAGCTTCCTTAATAAGACTCCTTTGGTGCAAGAATTAAAATCAAGAATCAATAAATGGGATGGACTGAAACTAAAAAGCTTCTTCTCAGCAAAAGAAACAATCTGTGAGATGAATAGAGAGCCTACATCTTGGGAACAAATCTTTAACCCTCACACATCAGTTAGAGCACTAATCTCTAGGGTCTATAAAGAACTCAAAAAGCTAAGCACCAGAAAAACAAATAACCCAATCAATAAATGGGCCAAGGACCTGAACAGACACTTCTCAGAAGATGATGTACAATCAATCAACAAATATATGAAAAAATGTTCATCATCACTAGCAATTAGAGAAATGCAAATAAAAACCTCTCTAAGATTGTCCACTCTTTTATTCTCAATATTCTGGCCACAGAATGTCTTTCTGTTCTTCAAAAGTTGAAAACTCAGGCTGAGGATATAGCCCAATTGGTAGAGTGCTTACCTCGCATGCACAAGGCCCTGGGTTCAATCCCTAGCACAACCACCATAAAAAAACTTAAAAAATTAAAAAATAAACTCGTCTTTACCTTATGGTCTTTGCTTCTGCTATTCCCTCTGCCTAGATCAGTAGTCCATGTCCTTCTTTTTGAACTAATCCACAGTGTCCTTTATGGTTAGGTACTACACTATTTAGCACCTGAACAATCTCTACCCAAAATTACTTTAAATATAAAAACATTAGACTTCCAGCAGCTATGGAAACTTGGCTATTGTTATCAGTTAAAGTGAATTTCCTTTCATCAAAAGATGCCAGGACCCAAGAGCTGGGCTTTCCTTAACCTGTTTGTCATTTTCTCAAAGCAGAAGAGAATCAAAAAGGGAAACTACTATTCAAACAAAAGTTGTCTTATTCTCTTGCATCCTACAGAAACCAGGGGGGAAATGGTTCATACCTACTTCTTGGAACCATAAAAAAATCATTTGACTTTAGAACAGGTAGAAGAATAAAGAACATGACAGTTGTTAAACAGCCAGAGATAATCAATAAGGATTCAAGGACAGCAGAAAACTGCCAAATGAACTCCTGCCACTGGAAGTATCATATGCTGACCAATTTCTCTTTCTTTTATAACACACTCTATGGAAAAAAGATTTGGTGTTTTGTGGAGAGTTTGCTCTGAGTTAAATAGATCTAGTCATGATAGTTGGACCTCAGTTTTCAGACATCAGTCACAGTTGGAAATGGCACATGCTTTAGTCACCTCCACTTTCCCTTATTTTGCTACCATTAGCTCCATAATCCTATAACTAGCAAAGGATTTGGTCCCTTGTCATGAGGTAGCACTATGTAATCCCAGCGCGCACCTTCAACTCATCTGTGGTAGAGCCAGAGAATGGTGGTAATTTTGCTTTATGGGTCTCTGATATAACAGAAGAGACGACGCTATTCCCAGGTTGTTCCAAGTGGGAGGTGCCTCCCTTAGACTCTGGTCATCCAGTATCACTGCTCTAACTCAGTGGTTCTGAAACTTAGTGGAAAGATTCTAGCATGGAGAGTGAGGCCTGCTGTGCTTTGTGTAACCCTGAGAAGTCACTCCTTTTTGCTATTTCCYGATTCTGCCAGGGCTTAGAACACAGCAGACATACCTTGCATATGGCACCAGTGTGGGCTCTCATTCTTCTATCACTCTGCCCACTGTAGGCAGACATGGCCTCAGAATTCTTCTCAACCAAGTGATGACCAATCAGACTCAAGAGGCATCATCTACAAATTGTGACTCCAGGGCCTCTTCTAGCTCTTAGGGTCTGAGGTTCTGAGAACGTGCTTTGAGGGTTTCTTGAGTCTGGAAGACATTGAGTCTGGGAGCCTCACCTCATGCCTTCTCTTGTATTCTACAGAAACCAGGGTGAAATGGCCCACACTTGCCGTGGAACCATCAACCTGGCCACTGCACATATTGATACTGAAGAGTCTTGTGGTATCTTGCTGATGAGTGGGGCAAGAAGTTACCACCTCAAGGCCAACTCAGAGGTGGAACGGCAGCAGTGGATCACCGTCCTGGAGCTGGCCAAAGCCAAGGCTGTTCGTGTGATGAGATCCCATTCAGGTAGTGAATGGTTGATATAGGGGTGTGTATGAGTGGTGTCATGGGTTTAAAAGGAGTGAAATTGAAAGCATTTGGGGGACAGTGGTGACCAGGAGACCCGGCTAGTCTGAACCAACCTAGAAGGTCAGGTTGTATTTGTGCCTTTCCTACACAACTCATCATTCCTTAGCAGTGAGATAGATACCCAGCCACTCTGCCAAGGCCGTCACAGGTGGCTAGCAGTCTTTGGGATGCAAATGATTATGGGGGCAGGGGCTGTGTGATCTTTCCCTGGACAAGTCTGGTTGCCAGACTTCAACAGACATTTCAGGTGCTATGGTGCCTCAGGCCCATACTCAGCAATCTAGGGTGGGAGTCCAGGATTGTGCCTCTGTGACTTGGGCCAGACTTTTTCCCATCGTCTCTTTGGTGAAGATTTTTTAGATGTTTAGCCAGAGCTGCTGTCTTTGCCATGGTGAGACACCAAACTCAGATGTTCTGAGCAAGATGTTTTACTTTTTACTTTAATAAATTTAGTATTTAATATGCAGTGTTTTTATATAATTTATAAACCAATGGCTCCAAAAGCCTATGAGTAAAGTCTTGTCTTTGTACCTGTTCCCAGCCACCTACCCTGTTCTCTGACCCAGAAGAAATTAGAGGTACTAGTTTCATGCATCTTTACATAGATGCCCAAATCAGTGCTTATTTGTGAATAAATGCAGTGCTCTACCTTGCTTTTTACATTTAGCAGTATATTTTTGTAAAATTTTCTTTGTCAGTTCCTAAAAACTTCCTCTTTGTTTTCACAGCAATGTGATTTTTCATTGTATAGATGTACTGTAGTTTATTTAACCCATAGCCTGTTGATGAAATAGTTGATTAGGTTTTTGCCAATGTTTTAACGATACACTGGGTTGCAACGTGTAAGCATTTCATTTCACACTTATGTAAATACAACATACTAGGATTCAAGTTGCTGGGTCAATGGGAGTGTATGTTTGTAATTCTGTGATGTATTGTCCAGCTGCCTTCCATAGGGGTTGTATTGTGAGATGCCAGTTCAGACTGTGAGACACTCACCTCCCTACCACCTTGTGCATCCAGAGCCATAGTAAATGTTTCTGATGATTGAAAAATGTGTCTACACAAACTGGGAGCAGGGGTTGGGCAGCTATGATCTTTCTGAAGTTGTAAGCAAAATGACATGTGTTTCTACAGACCTGTGTAGTATTTCTGGGGAGACAGGGTTATAGGGGAAGAGCCACAGCCGTTACTCTCCAGGATTATCTCACAGCCTGGGTGGGGAGACATTGGATTCTGTGTAAGGAGCTTTAGCATAAGACAGGATGAGAGGGACTAGTGACATTTGTCAATGTCCTGGGCCCTATCCCCAAGTTATGGTCTCTCCCCCAGTGCTAGCTTCTCAATGTGCATCGAAGGGCACCTAATATCAATATGGCCTTCTTTTTTTACCTCACCCATTTGGAGTATGGGTTATATCTTATTCTGTTTTCTGTTGCTATAACAAAATGCCTGAAAAGGTGGTAATTTATAAAGAATAGAGATTTATTTAGTTCAAGGCTTTGGAAGCTGGGAAGTCTAATGGCATGGCACCAGCATCTCCTCAGCTTTTGATGAGGACCTTCTTGTGGCATCATAACATAGTGGAGAACATCACTTGGCAAGACAGATCAAGCCAGAGAAAACTCAATTTTATAACAAAGCCACTCCCACAATAACACATTAAACCATGAATACATTAATTCATATATTAATCCACCTCAGTCACCTTCCAAAGATCGCACCTCTCAAATACCATTCACTTTTGACTTTGTGGGTTAAGTTTCCAGCACATAAAGTTTAGGGGACATATTCAAACCATAATAGGTCTCCCTGCTCAGTGATTATTCTCCCTGGGGTCAACACTCATGCAACTCTGGTATGTCAATGATGATGTTGATCTTGGGATGTATTACCCAGGGTACCACGCCATCTCTCCATGAAGGAGGGGGTTGGGGTCATATCAAGCAAGGGATATGCTGAGACCCCCTGTAGGACCTGTGGTCTTAGCTTGGGATGCCTGTTGAGAGCCACTGTGGTGACAGATGTGGCTAAGCTCAGGACAGCCATGTTGGCCAAGTGAGGATGCACTGCTACTTACCAAAGAACTAATTTCTTCTTTTTTTCTAAGAATGGATGAATGAATGAAATTGCTTCATTTTCGAGAAACATCCTGAAAATAATGTAGTTTGTAGCATTTACTGGATTATCATAAAACAATTTTCTTGGAACAGCCAGTAGGAAGGGTTTCTTTTGTGGTTGGGGAGAAGGGCTTGCTAATTCAGCTGACAGTATGAGAGACTGGTAGTCTGGACTTGCTTTAGGGGATGTGGGAACCCCTAAAGTAACAGCCTCACCTACCTTCATTTCATGAGATGCAGCACATAGCTTGTGTTTCCAAGGGGATAGCCTTCAGAAGGGTAAGGATACAGAACAGATTACTAACATTGGAGATAAAAGTGGTGGTGTCATTACTATTGACCTTACAGAAATAAAAATGAACTATAAGAAAATACTATGAATAATTGCCTGTCAACAAATTAGATAACCTAGATGAAGTGATCAAATTTCTAGAAGCAAAAATATTACCAAGACTGAGTAAAGAAAAAATAGAAAAATCTCAATAGACTTACAATAAATAGATTATTGAATCAGTAATCAATGATCTTGCAACAAAGGAAAGCCCAGGACAGGATGGCTTCACTGGGGGAATTCTAGCAATAATTTAAAGAATTTATACCAATCTATCCCAAAATCTTCCCAAAAAATTAAAGAGGAAGAAACATTTCTTATTCTGTGAGTTCAAACTGATAACAAATACACACAAGAATATCATGAGAAATGAAAACTATAGACTATTATCTCTTATGAATATAGACTCAAAACCCTTAACCAAAGACTGGCAAGCAAAAATCCAACAGTGTATTAAGAATATTATGCACCATGACCAAGTGAGATTCATCATAGGAAGCAAAAGGTGGTTCAATATAATAAAGTAAATTAATGTAGTATACCAATTTGAAGGGAAAACAAAGAATATGATTATCTCAACTTAATGCAAAAGAAAAGGATTTAGCATATATCCACTCTTTCATAATAAAAACACAAAATAGGAATGAAAGGTAATTTCCTTAAAACAATAAAGGACATGTATGAAAAACCTATAGCTAAAGTCATACTCAGATGTCCTTCAATAGATGAATGGATAAAAAAAAGTGGCATTTATACACCATGGAGTATTACGCAGCACTAAAAAATGACAAAATCATGGAATTTGCAGGGAAATGGATGGCACTAGAGCAGATTATGCTTAGTGAAGCTAGCCAATCCCTAAAAAACAAATACCAAATGTCTTCTTTGATATAATGAAAGCAACTATGAACAGAGTAGGGAGGAAGAGCAGGAAGAAAAGATTAACATTAAACAGAGACATGAGATGGGAGGGAAAGGGAGAGAAAAGTGAAATTGCATGGAAATGAAGGGAGACCCTCATTGCTATACAAAATTACATATAAGAGGTTGTGAGGGGAATGGGAAAATAAACAAGGAGAGAAATGAATTACAGTAGATGGGGTAGAGAGAGAAGATGTGAGGGAAGGGGAGGGGGGATAGTAGGGGATAGGAAAGGTAGCAGAATACAACAGTTACTAATAGGGCATTATGTAAAATTGTGGATGTGTAACCGACGTGTTTCTGCAATCTGCATTTGGGGTAAAAATTGGGAGTTCATAACCCACTTCAATCTAATGTATGAAATATGATATGTCAAGAGCTTTGTAATGTTGTGAACAACCAATAAAAAAGTTTTCTTAGATCAGAAACAAGGATGCCCACTTTCACCACATCTATTCAACATTGTACTGGAAGTTGTAGATAAAAATTATGCAAGAAAAGGAAACAAAAGTACAAATTATAATGGAAAAAATAAAACTTTTTCTATTGGCAGACAAAATGATCCTACACATAGAAAAAAATCTCAAAGAATATACACACACACACATACACACACACACACACACAAATTGGAGTTAATAAATAAATTTAGAAAATATGCAAAGGTACAAGATTGACACAAAAATATCACTTGTATTTCTGTATACTGGCAATTAATGATCCCCAAAAGAAATGAAATCAATTTTATTTATATAGCATAAGAAAAACTGAATAAATATGACAACTAAATTCAAACTAAAAACCATTGCTGAAAGAAATTAAAGACCTATATAAATGGAAAGTCATCCCATGCTCATAGATTGGAAGATAATATTGTTCAGAACTGAAAACACTATTCAAACAAAAACTGCCCCTAGAAATCTATAAAGTCAATGTAAATTTTATCAGAATTCCATGTTTCTTTTTACAGAAATGAAAAGCTGAACCTAAAATTCACATGGAATTAATTTCAAGGGACTCCAAGTAGTCAAGACAATCTTGAAAAAGAAAAAACTTGAAGGACTCATATTTCTGATTTCAAACCTCATTATGGAGCTATAGTAATCAAGACAATGTGGGACTGGTATAAAGATGGTCATACAGATCAATGGGATAGAACTGAGAATCCATAAGTAAGCTGTATATCTATGGTCAATTGATTATTAACAGGAGTACCAAGATCATTTAAAGGATAATTTCTTCAACAAATGGTACTGAGATGACTGGATATCCATATACAAAATAAAAAATGAAGTTGGATCCCCTTTTTCATGCCATATACAAAAATAATTCAAAATAAACCAGAGACCCAAATTTAAGAGTCAAAACCATACAATTGTTAGAAGAAAAAATTATAGTAAATTTTCATGACCCAGGATTTGGCAGTGATTTTCTTAAATTATGACACCAAGAAAATTGCAATGAAGAAAATATAAACTGACTTCATCAAAATTAAAAACTTTTTTGAGGATCAAAGGGTCTATCAAAAAATGAAAAGATGACCCCCATCATAGGACAGAATACTT